TACTAGGGCTTATTTTCAGGTTAGGTCTTATTTTTGGGGAAACAGGGTAGTGATGGGATATTTGTAGCCATATATGACTACAAATATCCCAGACCCAGGTGACTGGGGTCCCCAGTGTCACCCCGCGCTGCACAGCAACCTATAAGTGGGTCGGTTTGGGGAGGCGACACTGGGGATTTCGGTCACCCGCGTCTGGGATATTCGTAGTCGTATATGAATACAAATATCCCATCGATATACGAATACACTGAACCTAGGCTGCTGGGAACCTCAGTCCTCCCTCCCCGAACTGACCTGTCCATTTATGGGTTGCCGTGCAGTGCACTGAGCTGACCTCCTGCTCCTCATGCCAATTTCCGACGAAGCCCGGCTGCTGCTTCTCCATCTTCTGGCCACTTAGCAGCTGAGTGGGGGGACTCATCATCCCGCCATCCTTGGCTGGAGTGGCCAGAAGAGCACAAAGACACAGAAAACCTCCCGCCATCCTGGAGTGGCCAGAAGAGCACAAAGATACAGAAAACCCAGCCAGGCTTCACTGGCACGAGGCACAGGACGCCTGCCCTACGCACTGCACGGCAACCCATTGTCAGGCTTTTGTTCTTTCGGTGAACAGGGAGTTAAATTTTAATATTGTAATGGAAGTGCAGAGTCAGGAATGTAAAGTAAAAGCCAACCTAATGGCTAACAGCATACAGGTGTAACAAGCTGATGTAATGCTTAATTGTTACGCAAGACCAGCTGTAAATGGTGAAATGTGATTGGTTGTTCTGGGGATAAATCTAACAGAGACAGAACAGACCTTTGCCACTCAGCAGTAAGTCTGGTGGTCATTTGCTTCTATGTCAATATTGCTCTGAATGTTGTTATGCCAAATGTATCTTGCCCTGTACATATGTATACATGTTTAACCAGATCTAATATACTATATTATAATCACTAAGAACTCTCTCATGTCATTTTCTCCCCATGTCCACGTCTCTAAAGTCTCTTACTTTGCTATTTAAGCGGGAGGAATGGAAGCAGTCTGATAAAGAAGCTCTGTATAATTAGTGTCCTTAGTTTTCAAGGCTTGTCTTTCAAGCAGAATGCTCTTGCTAAGCTTCACATTCAACCGGGCTCTATGACGCTTTCTTGAGGCCAGAGCCTCATTAAGCCTCTGGAGTTTTAGCCCCACGCCAACACCCATAAGTGGACAGGTCAGTTTGGGTAGGCCGGACTGAGGATCCCGGCGACCTGGGTCCAGGATATTCGTATTTGTATAGAAATATCATAGAATCATAGAAAAGTGAAGTTAGAAGAGGCCTACAAGTCATCAATTCAAACCCCCTGCTCACTGCATGGAGACAATCAAATCTGCCAGGTGATTATCTAAGTTTTTCTTGAATGCCTCCAGTGTTGGAGCACTCGCCAACTTCCAAGGTCAGTAGCTCCACTGTCGTACTGCTCTAACAGTTAGGACGTTTTTCCTGATAGTCCACTGAAATCTGGTCTCCTTTAACTTGAGCCCACTGTTGCGTTTCCTGCATTCTGGAAAGATCAAGAACAGATCTTGCCCCTCCTCTGCCTTTCAAATATTTGAAAACTGCTATCATATCATCCCTCAATCTTCTCTTCTCAAGATGCCCAATACTTTCAGCCTTTCCTCGTAAGGCTTGGTTTCCAGCCCCCTGATCATCCTTGTGGCCCTCCTCTGAACTTATTCCAATTTGTTAGCATCTTTCTTGAAGTGTGGTGTCCAGAACTGGACACAATACTCAGGGTGAGGCCTAACTAGTGCTGAATAGAGGGGAACTAACACCTCGTGGGATTTGGAAACTATACTTTTACTAATGCAGCCCAAAATATCCCATCTCTAGTCACAAAAAGCAATATCACATTGGTTTCGGAGCACAGCAACATTTCTTTAACTAATTTAACTGTTATTCCTTCTCTTTTTTAAGGTGTAATGACATTTATTGGCAGCTCCTGAACGTTTGTAGGTGAGGGGTGACCATGGCAAATTTTGGGCCAATTTTAAGTACAAACAAACAAAGGTAATATTTGGGCTTAAAATAAAATAATATTAATGTTCCATCAAGTTAATTCTGATTTATAGAGACACTTTTCAGGGTTTTCCCAAGTACAGAACACTCAGAAGTGTTTTCCCCTTCGCTTCGTCTAGGGCAGGCTTGTCCAACCTGCGGCAGTTTCAAGTTACACTGCCAGCGCTTGCGGCCGGAATGTGGCCGGGGCATGTCACAACAGTAGAGGGGGAGAGAGGGAAGGAAGGAGTGGGAGAGGAGGGGACGGGGGGGGCTGCGTGACTGAATTGTGCTGTCCCCGTCAATAGGTGGACCTCCTCCCGGCCCCATAAAGCCGCTGGAGTCGAAGCTGGCAGTCTCTGCTGTCTGAGATCGCAGCTGCCGTTAAGCGTGCTTGGAGCAGGGCTGCAGAGGATGGCTAAGACTGCCCCCCGCATGCGGCCCAAACCAAATGTATGTGCAGCCCAAACCAAATTTCATCTTCTAGTGTGGCCCAGGGAAGGTGAAAGGTTGGACACCCCCTGGTCTAGGAGGAGCCCTGGGACCGTGCAGCTTGCCCAAGGCGACCCAGGTCCCCTCCACTCACAGGAGGTCCATCAGGGAATCAAATTCTCCAACCTTGGCTCTGCAACCAGTTACCTAAGCCACAGAGATATCCAGCCAGCAGGCTTAAAATAAGAAATATGAATGCTACTTTCAGAAAAGAGATCAAACTACAGTAACGTGAGATAATAACCTCAGACTCTGTGCAAACTACTTTCCACTTCTCAGGCCCTTCACCAAGAGGCATGTTCTCACCTGAAGTATTGTTGCTCCCACCGCTGCTCTCCTGCATGAACTCCCAAGGTGTGGCTTTTTGATCAAGGTTAAACTCTTCTTTCACAGCCACAGGTTCCTGAAATAGGAAAGAATTGCTCAGATCAGGTCTCAGAAACAAGCACCTCTGAGCTACCACCAGGGTAAGCCTTTGGAAGTAGCAGGTTGAAATCTGCAAGCAAAGCCCAGCCTGTGGAGTGGATAGGGAGTCCTAGATACTGGACTCCAGGAAAGTTGCTTTTCAAAGCAGTGACTTAAAAAAAAAAAACAACAACCCAGAAGTGCCGTGTTGTGTCTCATATTAAGAAACCTCTCGCCAATAAGCATGACTCGAACTCCACATACCGTAGAGAGCCCAACCTCCGCCGTCTGCGGTTCTTTGGGACGAAGGTCCACACTAGAGTTCCTGGAGGGTGTCACTTCGTTGGCTGCAAATCCACAGGAAAAAGAAGAAAAGGTTTGGATTTGAAAAAACCCACAAGGATTACAGAATTGTCAATGGCTCTCTTGCCTCCACCATCCCAAAATGTCAACATCTCCAGATCAACCAGGGTGGGATATGTGGTCCATCTCAAGTGGAGAGGTCCTGTGCTCTGAGCCTCTTCTTACAGACGAGTCTGATGCAAAATCCATGAGTGAGAATGGTTTAAGGCAGTGGTTCCCAAACCTTGGGACTCCAGATGTTCTTGGGATGGCAACACCCAGGAACCCTTGCCAGCACAGCTGATGGTGAAGGCTTCTGGGAGTTGCAGTCCAAGGATATCTGGGAGCCCAAGATAGGGAACCATTGATTTAAGGCATTGGAACCTTGCTGTTCATCAGGAAAGGGCCCGATTCATTGACCCATCTCTTTTGTTTGTACATTGGTGGTGGTTGACCGTGGCTCTCCAGATGCTTCTTGACTCTTATTCAGCATGGCTAATAGTAAGGAACTCTGGGAGGTCCTGCCGAAACATATCTGGAGGGACATAAGTTGCCCACCCCTACTCTACACAAATCCACTCAATCACAGACACCCATCATTAAAATTACAATAAGAGAAGCAGAGACCGGAAGACACTACATAGAAATTCTTCTCTAAATGCTACCATACAGCTTATGCCTCTTACAGCATGATATTCTTACCAATAAATTATACCAAGTTGCAGCCTCCTCTTTCTGAATCTCCCTGGAGCTGCCTCAAAATCTGGCAGCAGAAGTACTTTAAAATGCTGTCAAGGGTGTTGCATAAAACAGGACAATTGCACTAAGTGTATGAAGAGTTGTGAGTAAATTCCTTGTTGAAGTAGGCTATGAATGAGGCTTAAGGCTTCTCCTATCCTTTCCCATTGAGATGCCAAGGATATACACATGAGAGATCGTAAGCAGAGAACAAATGGTTCTTAAAAGGAGCAAAGCAGCAGCCCTTGCAATTGGGGGGGGGGGAAGGAGGTGCACATGTTAATACAACAAATTTTGTTGAGAACTAAAGAAAATATCTCCCCCTCTTAAGCATTCTGTGGCTCCTTGGCCTCCCATGCAAGAAGACAAACAAGGATTAATATATATTTTTAATCACACTTTTAGAAGCCACTAGACACCTCTACTCTCTTTTGAAACAACAGCTCCCTCTTCCACAAATGAAAGCCCGTTGTTTTAATCAAACATGGAATTTTTGTTTGAAAACTGAAAATGGGTGTCTCCTAATGTCTGCTGGCATGATCTGGTGCTGCACAGTGAGGGTGGGGGTAGCCCGTGCTAGATCCTGGGGTGATGGGGCACGGCTGGCCCACCAAATTTACCCACCCATGACTTACAAGCTCGCTGCCAGAAAAGCAAGAACAAAGATTAGCTCTTTACCTATCAGATTGCCCTGATGAATCACTCCCCCACACTGCTGTCTGGGCAACCGCTCTGCCTCCAGGGAACTTGCATTCATCTCTGGAATGGGCACCTGAAAACAGAAATTAAGACAGGCAAAGTTACTGGTCTCAGTGTGTTCCTCTTATGTCCTTGTTTATTCATCTAATTCTCATCCTGCCTTTGTCTCACAGCAGGGAATTATTAAATAGTCAGAAATATATATTTGTACAGATTTAAGGAAGTGGCAAAACTCCATGTGAGCTTCAAGGAATTATGGAACTTGCAGAGTTTTGAGACTCCTTTTCTTGACTCTAATGAGCAGTTTCATTTCTTAACAGGAACCCAGGATGGAGCTAAATCATTGAGATTTTGATATGAAAATGTATTAAATATTAATGTTGCATAGTTAAATGTAAAATGGCTGATTTTACCTGAATCACTGTACTGATTGTATTCAGGTGTGGGTATCAAGGATTAAGACTTAATGTTGTATAGCTGTGTACAGGATGGAACGTGTTCTAACAGAAAATGAAGTAATGTATTTTCTGATTGGTCTCAGAACTGTATATAAGTCATGTTAAAATGAACATCTTTATCTGCTGTAAGATTAGCTGTATACAGGATGGAACGTGTTGTAACAGAAAATGAAGTAATGTATTTTCTGATTGGTCTCAGAACTGTACACAAGTCATAATCAAAATTCTCAACATGCTAGGCCATAAAGCCTCCCCATCCAGTTGAGCTAAATTTAGGTATCCGCAGGCATGGATATAGTTGAGATTTTTAAATCTATAAATGTATTAAATGTAATGTTGTATAGTGAATGTAAAATGGCTGATGTAGTCTGAAACGTGTACAAAGTGGATTCAGGTGTATATTAAGGTTAAAGACTTAATACTGTGCAGCTGGTGTAAAATGATGTAAGATTATGTAATGTACAAATGATGTAATGTACATTGTGATTGGTCCCAAGATTTATAAGAGACATGTGTTAAGGGGACAAGCTAACTGCTGTAAGTCAGATCATTTATTACATATTACCTATAGTAATTTCATGTCTGAAATCTAAGATGGTGTTATCTATGTATATTTATAAATAGACTTTGCTGAATTTTACTCTCTCAAGTGTTATAGTGTTATTGCAACTATGCATTTCCTAACTCTGCTTAAGTCCAAACACCAACAAATTCTCAACAGATATGTCAGAGAACTCCCAAAATGGAGAATAATGGGATTCATGGTCCGAAAAATCTGAACGGCACACTGCTAATGAGAGTTGCAGTGCAACATCCAGAACATCATACGCTTTCTAGCCCAATCTAGTGCAGGCTTCATACAAACGATCACCAGCTATTCTCTACATATAAGATTTCACTACAAGTGAGATATTATCTTGCCTAGGCACCGATGTGGCCCCTCTACTAATACGTTTTCTTTATTCCATAAGGAATAACCATATCATCCAGCTGCATGATTGCCTTAGTAAATCCTTTTTTTGCCCCCTCCTTCACCTAACTTTGGCTTTAAACATCATTTTTGGAAAACTGAAAGTATAAAAAAGTGGCCCAAGCTGGGAGGAAAGGAGGAGTTCCAAGAGTAGTGGAAATGGAAGTAGGGGCAGATCCTTCACATTCACCACTCTGTGATAACTCTTGTCTAGGATTTTTAGACAAGTCGCTGTCCTTCAAACCGACCAACCCAATGCAGACTTTTTAAAAAAGTAATAAAGGCTGTTCTCTCACCTGCCGGTCCCACATCCTGGGCCGTCGATGGCCCATCAGGAAATCCTCTGCCAAGGCGACCATCTCGATGCAGTTCTGAGGCCCACATTCCCGCAGCCAGCTCTGGACTTCCGGCGGCAGCGTGGCCAGAAGCTGCTCCTGGATGATCAGCTCCAGGATCTGCTCCTTAGAGTGCCTGTCCGGCTTCAGCCACTGACGACACAGCTCCTGGAGCTGGTCGTAAGCCCTCCGGGGCCCTTCGAGTTCCTGGTAACTGCACTGCCGGAAGTGCTGCCGTTTCAACTCCATCCGGACGATGTCAGATTTCAAGATGGCCCCCTTCACCTTCTGGTAATCGAGCCGGTCCATGGGTTCCAGTTGGCAAATGTACTGCTCGACTCCACCTCTCAGCGCCGGCACAAGGCGGCCCACCCAATCTTCCCGAGGCCACCGGCAGGCTTCAGCCACTTGCTCAAAAGCACTCAGGAAAGACTTGGCATCATCCCACGGCACAGCATCCGTCGGCTGAGGGATCCCCTGCCCCAGGTGAGAAGGCTGGAGCATCCTAAGAAACTCTTGCCACTGGGCCTCCCATTGCTGTGGCAAACCCATATCTGGCTGCTGTGTGGCCTGTTTTGGGAACCCTTTAAAGTACATCACCTCTACAATGCGGGGGGCAATCCCTGGGCCCTCTAATCCCTTCTCCATGTTTCCTCCTTGCATCTAGAAAGATGATTTCAGCTCCACTTTGGCTGGCAGCACTTTGAGCTTGGTACTGTCTAAGACCCCGTCCTTGGGGGCAAGTTATCTTAATGAGAGGTTGCCTCTACGGAATTCTGAGCGCCACTTCCAGATATATTCTTTCTTCTTCCATACCATCCCACGAAGGGGAGGTGAAGGTAAGGATAGGTCTAAAAAGAAAGATAAATGCCTATTAATGGTACACACTTTGGGCACTTCATCAGAAGGCAAGATTCTCTAGAAAGAATAATGTTTGGGAAGGCGGAAGGCTACAGGAAAAGAGGAAGGCTAAATACAAGACGGATTGACTCCCTAAAAGGAAACCACAGGGTTGAGTCTACATGAGCCGAGCAGGGCAGCGGGGAGCAGGACATTTGGGAGATGGCTCATTCACAGAGTCGCCATGAGCTGGAAACAACTTGAGAGCACATAACAACAACAGTGGTACAAAGCGTCATAAAGAGAGATTTTGTAACAGCAAATAATAAGCCTAATGACTAGCAATGAGACTGGACACTGATGGTGGGCCTTTAAAGAGGTGAAAATCTACTTTTTAAATTCATACCTTTTAAACGGCCCATAATTTAACAATGCTTTCATATTACAACTTGTGTGTTTTCATCTGTGTCTGTTCTCTAATCTTGCTCTGAGATGCCTTCAGTCCCAGTTGTGAGAGGAAAGCAGGATATAAATTTAAAAGGTAACAGAATAAATTACTAATGGATTAAGTATCTGGCTGTGGAGGTTGTAGACATGTTCTAGATGGGTGGTATATAAGTCTAATAAATAAATAAATTGTGGGCTCAATCCCGCCTCCCCCGTGCCTCCTGGGAGAAGAGCCAGCCTGGGTGGCCTTGGGCAAACTGCACAGTCCCAGGGCTCCCCCCTAGAGGAATTTATTTATTTATTTATTTAATTTATATCCCGCCTATCTGGTCTTTCAACCACTCTGATCATCCACGAAGGCAAGGGTAATCCACTTCCGAGTTCTCTCTACCTGGGAAACCCTGAAGAAGGTCACCGAAAGTCAGAACTGACTTGATGACACCTTTGAGTGTATGTATGATCCAAAGGGCAGCGTGGTAGAGTGGTTAGAACCAGGTTATGGAATCCTGGGGGTCCTCCACATGCTGTTGAGACTGTGTCCTCCTCCATTAGCCTTATCCAACTTAGTCAATGATGGGGATTGCTGGGAGTTGCAATCGAACAATATCTGGAGGCTACACTTAGCTCCCTCCTAGGTCAGAATGTCAGAAGAGGACCAGATTCGAATCCCCACTCCCCCATGTGGCTGATGGGCTGACCACTCTGCCTCCTGGACAGGGACTGGACTCGGTGAGCCATAGGGTTCCTTCCAGCTCTGCAGCTTCAAAATGATGATGGTGGTAATGACAATGATAATTGTCGTAAAACCGAGCTTCCTAAGAATCTGCTTTTACACGGACCAGAGAGGGGTCCGGAATGACCAGCTCCTAATCAGGTAAAACTGGGTCCTTTAATTTTACCCTAGGCAACTGCTTCACTCCTTCTCCCAAGTCTGAACCGATTTTAAATAAACAACATCCAGGAATTCTAGAAGATTTAATCTTCCTCCTCTCTTATAGGTAGGACCCTAAATTGGTAGCATTTAATAAACGTGGCCTGATTAAAGAAATCAATTTAAAGTAGCTAATGAACTATAGTAGCTAATGGTCTATGCAAGAAGCCAATTTTCAGACAGTTAGACTTTTTATATTTTATTAGAAAAATAGAAATTAGTAAATGAATTTAAACAAGCAAACAAGACATCTTTCCAAAAACCCCAGCCATCACCACAAGGCATTTTCCTCTATAAAAACCAAAATAATAAACAGCTAACTACATTTTTGAACAGAGATCTGTCTTACTGTTAATTTGAAAAATAAAATTTCATTCGGAGCTTTTCCTCTGGCATTCATTCCTCCGTGCTGGAATTCTCTCACTGTGTTCGGGCAGTCGTCCAGGCTGTCTTCTCCCTATCTTCTCCCTGCTGTCTTCTCTCTACCTCTCTCTTAAATCAAGAAGTTATGTCCTTGTTCCGTCTGGGCTGAGATAGTTGCCTAGCGACTTGATAAAGGTCACCTTGTTCTTCATAGTTTTTCTCTACCGAAAAAGAACTGACCTTGGACATCTTGCTTCGTTCTAACTTGCACACAGACACAAACGGATTTCTAGCCTAACTTTGTTCCTATAAAATAAATCTCTATTCAGCTTTCATAATCAAATTCATGACATGGGCTAGGCACTAACTTTCTGCTTAACCAACCGTATGAAGGTGTTGCGAGGATAAAAATACGCAGGTACCTTTTGAGCTCTACATACATAATTAGCCTCACCCTGTCACTGGCAATACCAGCTAGAGATTCAGAGCTGAAGCCCGAAACATCAGAAATCTGCAGTTGACTACTGTAAGACTGATATAAAGTGGCCATCACTCAAAAGAATTTTTGGTAAAAACCATATCCCCATGCACTTCAAACACACTAAGGCAAAGACTCGTCCACCCCGGCCATCACTCAAAAGAATTTTTTGTAAAAACCATATCCCCGTGCACTTCAAACCCATAAACGCACTAAGGCAAAGACTCGTCCACCCAAAAGACCGGACACCACAGCACAAGAGGAGCAATACAGTATATGCGGTCCAATGTAAAGAGGAGTGTTCAGAGCTCTATCTTACAGAAACCAAACAACCACTGTCTAAACAGAAGAACGGCCCAGCACAGGAGGACCACTGTCTAAACAGGAGAACGGCCCAGCACAAGAGGGGCAATAGCTCAGGACCACCATCAGAAGCGCTCCTTCATGTGAAGGACTATGGACACTCATTTGATGACGAAAAGGACTAAGGACACTCATTTGATGACCAAGATGTACTCATTTTGAATGGAGAACATGGGTAGTTTGGGAGTGGGGTCAGGGAGGCCATAGATATGCGTGTAGAAAATCCCTCACTCAACAGGGGTGGAGGCCTTAGATGCAATCTGTCTCCTATTTATCATGCTGCCCTTTCATTTGTCTCCAGAAAGGTCAGGACCACACCCACCAGAAAGACCACTGTTAAGGACCCATGACAATGGGTGGAGAAGGACTGCAGAAGTGGGATTATCCCTCACCCTCAGTCCTTTCTCCCTAAGGAGTCTATTCAGACCAGGGGGAAGTGAAACCCAACGTGGAGGGGGGGTCTCCTACCAACTCTCCTCAGACTGAAGAAGCTGCTTGGATGAGTAGAGAAATGTTTCGACCAAATAAGAAAGAAGTCCAGTTGCCATGATTCAACTTCCAAAGGGGACTGGTAGTCTCTTCTTATTAGGCTTTGTGAAAGGCCTAATAAGAGAAACACCCTACCATCCCCTAATGCCAGCTGGGGAAATCCCTGCTGAATTCTGGTCGCCGTAACAAAAAGAATCCCAAAATCCCATGCCTAGTTCCCCGAGTACAGTGGAACCTCTACTTACGAACGTCCCTACCTACAAACATTTCAACTTACAAACAGCTCCGTCCGCAAAATTTTGCTTCTACTTGCGAACGGAGATTCAATTTACAAACCGAAAAAAAGTGTTCTGTTTAAAAGGTATTCCCTCCCTCCCTAAGTCATCTTAGGTTAAAAGAAGAAAAATTATCCCGCTAGTGATAGAGGGCAGATTAACTGGCTTTGCATTACTTCCTATGGGAACTAATGCTTCAACGCAAGAACGGCACCTCTACGTAAGAACCAAAAACAGCCACAACGGATTAATCGGTTTTCAATGCATTCCTATGGGAAATTTTGCTTCAATCTACGAACGTTTCAATTTAAGAACATCTTCTGGGACGGATTAAGTTTGTAAGTAGAGGTTCCACTGTACTAATATTCTCAGATAGTACCTGGAATCTGTGGGTGCTGTTGGCGGGGGGGACGCTTTAACTTCTCTCTCTAAGATGTCTTGCTATCCTAATTACCTGGTGATCACCTAGTCCATCAGCCTTCTCATTTCGTGACCCTACAGTGTTGCATCCTGATTGACTGTCGATAAGGGAACTTCTCAATTAGAAAAGGTTTCCCCCAGGTATGAGAAACAAAGAGCATACTCAGAACAACACATCAACAGAATAATCAGTGAAGACTTTTCTCTCTGAATGCTATGTTAACGATTACAACAAAGCCGTGCATGAAGAAGATTTCTTTGTCTCCCGAGCGTGTGTGATCTATGGTGGAGACTGATGAACCAATGGTCCTCCTACAGGCAACTGAGGTCCTTTAGGGATCCACAGTAATGACAAGCCAGCGAAGGGGAGGGGGGAGCCTACAAAGGTTTATTAGGAAAAAGGAAAAACCCTAGTGAAATAGGTATAAAGTGTGGTAAAATAAAGAAGGAATTGTTCTAAGTATAAAACTCAACTCTAATACAGTGGACCCTCAACTTACGGAATTAATCCGTATTGGAACGGTGGCTGCAGGTCGAAAAGTCTGTAGGTCGAGGCTCCATTGACCTACAATGCATTGAAAACCGATTAATCCGTAAGTGGCCGTTTTTATTCCATTTTGTAGGTCGATTCTCCGGTTGCAAGTTGAAACAAATTTTGCAGCCAGAGAAGTCTGTAACTCGAAAAGTCTGTAAGTGGAGCTGTTTGTAAGTCGAGAGTCCATTGTATAGCTAAGGAAGCAAAGCTACAATAGGATTTAAAGTCTCTCGAAATCACTTCTGCCACTGGGGATCCCTCTGCAGTGGCTGGCTCATTCCTTTGATCCAAGTTCCAATCTCCACGTAGAGTGTCCATTAGTGGACTGTGTAGCACTTTCTGGAATGGCTTACACCAAAACACGACAATGCCCAAAATCTTAACCCTTTTTCTACTCTTGATGCAGCTGGTCCTTGGGCCCCTCGGCTAGGATCACCACACATTTGAAGAGTAACTAATTGGGACACTCATAAAAAGATCCCTCGCTAACTAGCAAAGTAGTAACATCTGTGTCTTCAAAGCATACTCCTATAATTAACAAATTACTAACATAGTGCGTTCTAAGGCACAGCTGTCCAATACTACTGATTTTGTGACCAGAACTGCTGTATAAACAAATTTATTTCTAGAATGACAACCACATACCTTTACGATAAACACCTGTCTTCCCAAAGAGTTAACGGATAAACATATGCTTTCCCAGACAATTA